GTCCATTTCCCATCAGGCCTTGCTACACCCCAACTCCTCCCTCTCCACCCCCACAAAGTTGTAAAGTTCGTTTTCAACATACTGTCTTGTACATCTCATTGTTACAATATGTTCAGCATTTTGTTATTTCCCTTCCCCTCCCCAAATTAGAAAAATGTATATACAAGATGCAGTGACCCCCTCTGCAGTATCTTTGTAATAAAAAATATATATTAAGAAAAAAAGAAAAAAACTGTAAAATAAAATACATCTTTTTAAGTCCTCAGCGAACAATTTCTAGAAATTGCAAAAGAAAAAATGATGGCTTATTTTAGCATAAGGACTTTTTTAAGATGAGAGAAAAATTTATTAAAAGAGAAAGATGACAGGACTGGGAATGTGGCTTCATTGGTAGAGTGTTAGCCTAACATGCATGAAGCCCTGGGTTCGATTCTTCAATACCATGTACACATAAAAAGCTGGAAGTGGTGCTGTGACTCAAGGGGTAGACAGTGAAAGCCTTGACCAAAAGAAGTTCAGGGACAGTGCCCAGGCCTGAGTTCAAGCCCAGGACTGGCAAAAAATGGAAATAAAAAACAGGAGGACTATAACAGAATGTGGCATAGGCACGCCACATTTTGGCCATCTTCTTACGGAGTCTGACTTTAGGTTAAATAGTGAGGATTTGGATGGCTTTCTTATGGATGGGTTTCCTTTCTGTTTCCTGTTGTGATGCCAAAGATTGGCTGTCCTGCCCTTATTTCCTCATTATTTTGTTCTTCTCACTTACTCATTCTGTTGTAGCCCCCAGCCTCCATCTGCAAGCTGCATAGACCACAATCCAACGATTGATTGATTTTTAATTCTATGTAACTGCTGGGGGTAGATTCTAGGGATTTAATACTAGGCCATGAGGTGGATGGTTTAGAAATAAAGTGAGTCTGAAATCCTGGAGCATGAAGTTGTATAACTATCCTAAACATAGGTTATTTCTACTTTGTGTGATGGCGTTTAAGGTAATTCTTTGGATTTATTCGGGTTAGAGATTTTTTTTAAAAAGGGGCTCGTCCGGGATTTGAACCCGGGACCTCTCGCACCCTAAGCGAGAATCATACCCCTAGACCAACGAGCCACCCCCGGGAAGCCCTGGGGATTTACAACTCCACTAAGAAAAAGTTTTAGCCATGTCCACAATTGGCTTTAAAGTTTCTTTTGAGCGATAGGGGCTGTAATGCCCCCTACTGGAAGAAACTGGTCACTGCCCTATTTTCGTCCAAATGAGGATGAAGAAGGAAGCTGTAAATCCTTTCACAAGAGTGAAGGAGGCGATCACGGGCTGTGTGCGTGGCCGGTGCCCAAACGCGGCCCTCTTTACCGGGGACGCGCTGCTTTGCTGGCAGCCGGCGAGGCGAGGCTGCGGCCAGTCCCGGGGGCGGCACTCGGCCACGCTCCCTCCACCGCCGCCTGCCGCCCGCGGGCGCCGCGTTCCCTGCTCCGCGCGTCCCCTGCAGGACCACGACTCTTTCCACCAGCGCCAAGCGCCACGGCTTCAAAGAGGACGAAAACAATCAGAAAACGGGGGAAAGGATAGGGATGAGAAACAAAGTTAGTAAAATTATAAATATTTAAGCTACGGAGGGGTGGAAATCTGTAGAAATAGAATAGTAAAGAATATATTTCAGCCCCCTGGCTGGCAGGTAGCGTGGCCGAGCGGTCTAAGGCGCTGGATTAAGGCTCCAGTCTCTTCGGGGGCGTGGGTTCGAATCCCACCGCTGCCAGTGGTACTTTTGAAACGGAATCTGAAAAGGCTGTCACGTGAGATTCCTTCTAAATTATCTCGCACCGTTCAGGCTGATCAACGTAATGAGGGAAAAGAAGAAAAACACCTAACCACTTTGCTCATCGTACGCTTTTTAAAAAGAGAAAAGAAAAATGCAGAGTCTTTATCCTGTTTTGGAACTTCTCATATTTACAATATTGCAAAACAAAAAGAAAGAAAGAAAGGGAGGGAGGGAGGAAGAAAAGGAGGAAGAAAGAGAGGAAGGAAGGAAGGAAGAAAAAGGAAGGAAGGGAGAAAGAAAGGAAAAGAAAAAAGTAGCACCCACACAAGTTGCCCTTGAACCCCTGTAGTGTGTATTTTGAGCTTATGCCCTGTTATCGCCTGTCAATTACCAAAATTGGCCCTTAGACATGTGTAACATCATCAGAGAACAAATGTGGCACAGGAAGGTCAGGGCAGTGCCACTGGAGTCAGGACAGCCAGGAGACCCAGTGTCAGGATTCCAAGTCTCCCATTACTGAGTAACCTTAAGCAAATGGCTTACTTCTTGTGGTTCTCAATTCCTTATTTCTGTGTAGTTCTTTACTAGCCTTAAATATGAAAACCTGTAAGTGTAGACCCTGGAGAGATGAGGAACAGTTTAAGTTTTCCCAGTTTAAAGTACACACATGGTCATGGCCCTGATTCTTGAGGAAATTCCAATCTGAATCTCTAGAAATGAGAAATAAATATTATTTCATTGTGCCTTTGGAGACCAGTAGATGTGGACAAAGTAGAAATATTAATTCCATCATTATTAATCTCTTTGTATCATACACATGGTTCAGTGCTGAGGGGTACAGTAGGGACTCAATAAAAGGGTGGAAGTAAAAAAGAAACCATTGTAAATAATAGCCATAGTAACATGTGCTAAGAAGGAAAGTAGTGTAGTGTGGTGATGACAGGTGGCTATTTTGGAAAGGTGGTCAGACAGGTGTCTCTAAAGAATGACATATGAAGGCAGGAGTAGAGAAATGGTACCAAAGATACTCTAGGGATAGGAGACAACATCTGTGGTTGAAAAGCAATGAGGAAGCCATTGGAGCTGGAATAGAAGGTTGGAGAGGCAGGGAAGAGCAGGATCTGAGATCAGAGAGCCATCTTGGCCAGATCACAAATTTTGTCCTAAGTGTGAGGAAAAGCTATTGGACATTTTCAAGCTGGGAAGAATATTAGTTTGCTTTTATTTAATAGTAGGATAGAACTTGTTACCTGCGCATTAAAGAATAGAATTGGTAGCCAGGCACCAGTGACTCACACCTATAATCCTAGTTACTTAGGAAGCTGAGATCTGAGGATTGCAGTTGGAAGCCAACCTGGGCAGAAAAGTCCCCATGAGACCCTTGTCTCCAATTATCCACTCAAAAACCAGAAGTGACAATGTGGTTCAAAGTGGCCCTGAGTTCAAGCCCCACCATGGATGGGAGGCTGGGGGGGAGGAGGGAACATAGAATTGGAAGATGAGCTAGAAGGTTACTGTGGGAAACTATGAAGAGGTGGTGGCTAGACCATGTTGAGCAAGTTGAACATAGTGACTGTGGGGAATGGGTGATGCTGAAGCAGCAGGCAGCACTCTTTAATGGTAGATTCCAGGTGTTTCCGTGCAAGGGGATGAAGAATACATCTCTTAGGGGGAGGGGGTGAAGGGCATAGCTATCATGTGATGTGAGAGATCTACTTCCAGAGAGGTGGATGCTAGTGGGATTACAGCAGGAGCAGTAGACCAAAAACACCAGTTGCGACTAGTTGGTTTTGAGGTGCCTGTAACTCATTCCCATGGGGCACACAGGTGACAATAGGGACCAAACTGATTATTAAAAGTAGATTTTGTTTCAAACCACACAACTGAATAAGTGTAGACAGCCACAAAGGAGAGGCAAGAAAACACTTGAAAATTGTGAGGCCTAGGAAAAGAGTCGTAGAAAGAATTTGGAAAGTGGACTCCTGAGTGGAGGTGTGCAGTACCTATGCTAATGAGAAGTGGAGACTGAGAATTGATCAGTCACTGGTAACCTTGATGAAAGGAATGGAGAGATGAAAATGCTTGAATCATAGCTGGTTGAGGTGAAGGATCTGGTTAAGGGAAGGAAACTGAGACAGAGAATGCCCAACTTCTAAGGATTTTTTAAAAATTCGATATTGAGAAAAGCTAATTGGTGTGGAAGGAAAAGGATGGTTAAGACGGAAGAAGTTTTAAAAAAATTTACAGCACATCTCTCTGCTTGTGGGGACTGCCCTTGCTCACCGGGACAAACAGCTGCTGTGTGTATTAAGGTGGAGAAAGGAGCCAGTGGGGAGGGAATGGTTGACTGGGAAAACCAGGTCCCAGCTTGGAGAGCAGTAATGAGAGTCACCAGAGGAGGCAGGGGTGTCCTTAAGTAAATGTGAAAGCTGAAAACCCAGCCTTTAAGCAAGCCAGAAGTCAAGACTTCATTGTAGATAGGATGGCCCTCTACTGCCAGAAAGGGAACTAAGTTAACTTCTAATGGAGTAGTTATCCATTCAATAAAGTAAGCTAAGAGTCCACAAAGCATTCTATTTTAATTTAGCCTTATGAATTTTGCCTTTGGTAATGTTCATTCTCTCATCACTATATTGCTCTGCTGGAGTGAACAGGATTTATGGTTTCACTCACTGGGTTGTGTGGGAAAAATAAGGAAAGAATGAAAACAACAGGTTTGGGGAGGGAGAAAGAACTGAAGAAAAGGAAAAGACCTTTACTATGTGGTAATCTTTTTTAAAGGATACACATCACTCAGATAAACACACATACACAGACAGGAAAATGGTATGTTGCTTTGCCCATAAGCACCCCCCCACCCGAGGCCGTGAAGCATTTGCTGGTAATGAGAAGCACTTTGTAAAGCACAACAGGACATGTAACTGCAAGCTGTCTGCTTGGCCACTTCAAGGTCCTGATAAGAGACTTGGAAGGTAATTTTCCTAAGCCGAATACAGAGAACAAAACACGAAACTTTTCTCCTTTAAATAAAACTGGGCTCGTCCGGGATTTGAACCCGGGACCTCTCGCACCCTAAGCGAGAATCATACCCCTAGACCAACGAGCCGCCCTAACAAACTCCTTTTGATTCCGCCTCAAGGCTCATTTGCGTCATTGTGCGTGTAAAACGTGTGATGTGCAGTAGCGTCGCCTGCTGGCCAGAACGCACCTACACACACATCGGCTTCCGCACCGGTCAAGTCCGGGTGCTGGGAAGGACCCGAACAAAACAACTTCCGGCAGGGGAAGTAAATCCCTGCCACTTCAAACATCGCAGAAAGGAGCTGGGAAGGCGGAAATCGTAAGAACTTCACGAATGGGTGTGTGCGTTCACGGAGAGCAAGAATAAAGAACTTGAGGCCCCAGCGAGATTTGAACTCGCGACCCCTGGTTTACAAGACCAGTGCTCTAACCCCTGAGCTATGGAGCCCTCACCTGTTTGTGCTTTTTCTTCTTCTCACCTTATAGATGCATAGTGTAAGCTAATGTGTTGAGCAATTAATAGGTTTTTAATCAAATCATCAAACCCAAGGTCTTCCGCTGCTACAAACACGGAACGTACCAGCCTCTGCGAGATTCCGACTTGAGCAGAGCCACTGCCCGCCGTCTTCCTGCCCCTCATGTCGATCGCTTGTGCCCGTGCTGCACGGAAAGGTGGTAGAGTAAGAATTCCGCACGTGGAGCCCACGGGGAGGCCCCTGAAGCTGAGAGGACAGTAGAGGCTGCCTGATACTGACGGTAAAATCCAGGGGGAGGTGAGAGATGTACTTTAACCTTTTCCAACCCAGAAAGTTAAGCCCCTCATTTTGCTTATTTGGAATTAGGGGAAGAAGGAAACGGGGAAAATAACTGTCATGTTGGAGATAAAGACTCCCTAAAGACACAGATATCTCCACGCACGGTTGGTTCCAAAAACGATTTTTATTTTAAAATAACATTTACAATTTTCAAAACTTTGTTCTACTAAACAAGAACTAAAAATACATTTTGCTAAGAAATATTTTACACTTAAGTATCACTGAGGATCTAGGAGTACGGAAGCGCTGAGCAGGAGCGCGTCTCGGCCTGATCCCAGAATTGAGCTGGAGTCAGGCCTGTGCTCCGCGCCTGCTCCGGGCTGTTTATTTTTCACTTTTATTGTCCAGGACCACAAAGTTCGTCAGAAATCTGCTCACGATTCTTGGTCTCCTTCCTTTTTTTATTATGTAAACGAAAATTTACAAATGCCTTGGCACTAATAGTTCCTAACCCTTCCACTTTCTTTCAGAGGGCTTTTTTTTTTAAGCCCACCTCCAATTTTCCTTTCCTCTGTGTCTAGACTAAAGAAAAGATGGAAGGCTACAAAGAACATTTATGCTAATAATTATTGATTACATGTGCTAATCTTTAATAAAAAGGTTACCCAGGAAGACTCTCCAAAGAATGCTTATGTTTACTGAGGAATCACAGAACATTGCAAAGGGAACACGCTTGTTATGTAAGACCTCTGCCATTTCAAATCAGTCTAACCGACTCCATTTTGTGAAGTACTCTATGATGTCTAGAAGGAAAGCTGTTTTACTTTGCTTTGCAGTTATTGTTCTTCTGAACTCAAGCAGAACCTTCTTTGCAACCTGTTTTGACAAAGTATTTCCTAAAAGTAACTGATGATTCCAGCAGCATCCTGGAACAGTTAAATGAACGAACACTGCCAGACAGAACTGTCTTCTACCATACCAGCGTTTACATGTTTGAAATCAGGGTCTGGGTGCTAACTCTGTCCTTCAGTTTTTGCTTCCTCCCTCCCCTCAAGGCTATGCTCTACCACTTGAGCCACAGCTCCACATCTTGCTTTTTGCTGGTTAATTCCACCAAAGAAAAGTAGCATTTTTCTAGACCACTGAGAGCACTGCCTCGAGTATCATGGATTTGTCTTCCTATTCTGGCTTGGAACTGTGATCCTCAGATCCCAGCCTCCTGAGTAGCTAGGATTACAGGTGTAAACTACTGGGTGCTGACCCTTCTTTTTTTGTATATTTTCTTCCTCCTCTCCCTCCTTTTCTGGGTCCTCCTGGGATCCTTGCCTTCCACTCCTCCAGGCCTTCCCTTCCTCTTACCCACTTCTCACCAAGAAATATCTTCCTGGACCTCCAAGGTCTTGATCAAAGAGAAAGATTTATTTTTCCCTTGGTGGGGAGAGTGGATGGTTTGTTTGTTGTAGCAGAAATTGAGAGGTTAGGTTTTGCTTTGTTACTAGTACTTACTAGGAAGAAGGGAGAAAAAAAAAGTCTGGGCTGTAGCTTGGAAGTAGAGCTCTACTAAGAATGAATAAAATTCTGGGTTCAATCCCAACACCAAAAGTAAAACCAAAAAAAAAAAAAGAAAGAAAAGAAAAGAAAGAAAATCATGAAGCTTGGGTACCTGTAGATAAATTGGACATTCCTGACATTGCTATATAGTTCCTTTCTTTGTGTAATTTTCACATCACTTCCTTTTCTTTCTCTAAAAGGTAATAGCCTGTCTTCCAGTGTTTATTTTTCCTTCTTTCTGAAATTTAGTTCTGTATTATTTTTCCAAGATTCCTTTAACTTTGGTATTGCTGTTCATCTTCTTCTAATGACTCCCAGAATCTGCCCTGTCTAGTCTGAAGTTCTAACACTCTAGAAAGTGTCTGTTAAGCCATCCTTTCCTTCCAAAACAGAGTAAATAGACTGAAACCCCCTCCCAGCCTCCCTACTCTCTGGTCCCTACCAGGCTGCTGGTTTCCCAGCATTCTTTACTTCCACTAAGGAAAATAGAATTTTCTAGAACATTGAGAACACTGTTGTTGTTGTTTGTGTAGTTTTACTCCTATGACATTTTTGTCCCCAGAACCCTCACTGTTCCTCAGTTCCATTCCATTTCATCCCCTTGCTGATAAAAAGATGTTTTCTGATTTCTGTCTCCACTGACTTAGGCCATTTGTTACTTCTTGCCTTATTTCTGCTTTCCTCACTTCTCTAGTCTTGAACCCCTATGTTTCCTTTGTCCCTTTTCTTCTTTCTGTTGACATCCTCTGCCAATTCTCCAGCTACAACCTTCACATCTACCAAAACACCACCCCACTCTTCCTGTTACTTTTTTCAACACTTCTGTCTCTCTTTTTCATGATTCACTACACACACTTTCCTAAAAGCTTCCTTACTGAGACTATAGCAATATTTCTGTCAGATTCTAGATCAAAATTCTCTTTTCATTTTCATCACTCCTTCTCATTGTCATAAATATGTTACCATGTTGTCTTGTAAAGTTTATTAGCAGTGCTAGATATACCTGTAATACTAGCACTCAAGCGGCTGAGACAGGAGAATCTTGAGTTCAAGGCCAACCTGATCTACATAGCAAGACCTTGCTTTTAAAAACAAAAACAGAACGAAAGAAAACAAAAAAGCAAAAAACCCCAAACAGAACACTGATGGCCCATGCCTGTAATCCTAGGTACTCTAGAGGCTGAGATCTGAGAAACATGGTTCAAAGCCAGCCAAAGCAGGAAAGTTGATAAGACTCTTACTGCCAAAAAGCCAGAAGTGGAGTTGAGGCTAAAACCTGTAGAAACTATCCCTGAGGGGGGGTAAGCTCAGGATTGGCACAAAAACATGAACAAACGATCAAAAAACAAAACAGCCATAGTTAAAGCCCCAGGACCAGCACAAAAATAATTTTTTAATTACCTCTTTTATCTGGCTTTTTTCTTTCCTTTTCCTTTTCTTTCTTTCAGGTTTTTGTTGTTGTTGTTGTTTTGTCATGGGGTGTGAGCTCTGGGCCTGGATGTTGTCTTTGAGTTCTTCAGGCTCAAGGCTAGCACTCGACCACTTGAGCCATAGCAACACTTCTGGTTTTCTGGTGGTTTATTGGAGATAAGAGTCTCAGACTTTCCTTTCCAGGCGAGCTTCAAACTACAATTCTCAGCTCTTAGCCTCCTGAGTAACTAGGATTACAGGTATGAGCCACCGGCTCCCAGCCTGACTT